GTATATGCATACAGTAGAATAACAGTTAGACATAAAAAGGTACAAAATTCTTTTTTTTTTAGGTTAGAAAATATAGTTTATTTAGAAAGTAAATGAGACAGAGAGAGAGAGAGAGAAAGAGGAGATTCATTTCCCTAAGGTAGGGGAGGGAACCAAAGCCAGGAAACATGGCGATGACAATGACCACAACTCAAAGAGCACATTGCCACACCAGAGTCTGGCAAGGCAATGGCCCAAAGTTCTTTTTTTTTTTTTTTTTTGAGTTGGAGTCTGTCACCCAGACTGGAGTGCAGTGGCCACTCCCGGCCATCGCAGCCTCGACCTGCCGGGCTCCGGCGATCCTTCCGCCTCAGCCTTCCGAGTAGCCGGAATTACAGGCATGCGCTACCACGGCCAACTGATTTTTTGATTTATTGTAGAGATGAGGTCTTGCTGCCCAGGCGGGTCTCGAACCCACCGGCTCAGGCAGTCCACTCACCTCAGCCTCCCAAAGGCGCGGGATTACAGGCTGAGCCACCGAGCCCAGTTTTTTTTTTTGAGTTGGAGTCTCACTCTGTCACCCAGGCTGGAGTGCAGTGGCATGCTCATAGCCACTGCAGCCTCGGCCTGCTGGGCTCATGCCATCCTTCCACCTCAGCCTTCCAAGTAGCCAGAACTACAGGCTTGTGCCACCACACCCGACTAATTTTTTTTAATTTATTGTAGAGACGAGGTCTTGCCAAGTTGCCCAGGCTGGTCTGGAACCCCTGAGCTCAGACAATCCTCTCGCCTCTGCCTCCTAAAGTGCTGGGTTTACAGGCGTGAGCCACCATGCCTGGTTGGGAAGATCCCTTGAGCCCAGGAGTTGGGGGCTGCGGTGAGCTATGATTGTGCTACTGCACTCCAGTTTGGGTGAGAGAACAAGACCCTATCTCTAAAAACAATAAAAATATAAATAATGAAATATTTAAAAAATAAAAATTTTAGCCGGGCTCGGTGGCTCAGCTTGTAATCCCGCGCCTTTGGGAGGCTGAGGTGAGTGGATTGCCTGAGCCCGCGCGTTTGAGACCTGCCTGGGCAGCGAGACCTCATCTCTACAATTAATCAAAAAATCAGCCGGGCGTGGTAGCGCATGCCTGTAATTCCGACTACTCGGAAGGCTGAGGCGGAAGGATCGCCGGAGTCCAGCAGGTTGAGGCTGCGGTGGCCAGGAGCGGCCACTGCACTCCAGTCTGGGCAACAGAGTGAGACTCCAACTCAAAAAAAAAAAAAAAGAAAAAAGAAATACAATTTCACAATAAAAACAATTAGTTACTGAATTTACAACAATATGGGTGAATTTCAATGGCAATATGATAAATACAAGAAACTAAATGTAAAGGAAACATGATTAAATGAATTTATATGCAATTCTAAAAAAAAACTAAAGAGATAAAAAAACACACAAATAGTTTTCAGAGAACAGATGGCATGGAAAAGGGAACTGACTGCAAAGTGCTTCAGGTAACTTCTAGGTGTGGTAGAAATGCCCTATAACATGCTTGTAATGGTGATTATTTGCCTACATACATGAAGTCATGAATTGCTCACTTAAAACTGTGAATTTGATTGTGCATATATTATAACTCAAGAAAAGAAAATTAAACCTTGTGAAAAAAGCCAACACACTATAACAAAACTAGAACTATGAGGATTAATTATCCATATGCCATTAAAAAAGTAAACCTCTGCTCCATTATGACTAACAAAAGCAGAGATGGTGCCATTGGTTAAAAAAATACCCCGCCATGGGGTATAATTAAAAGTTACTGATGTGGCCAGCAAAAAATAGTGAGAGTTACATTATTTAATTTGTGAGTGTCATGGTCACAATAAAGTTCAACTGCAATATTTTTTAAATGTATAATCATATGCTCCATATGCATCAAGATGGATTTAGAGTCTATCATACTGAGTGATCTATCACAGAAACAGCGTACCATATGTTCTCACTCATAAGTGGACCTTGAACAATTATCATAATGCTATAGAAAAGGGATTGGCAGTAGTGGGAAACTGTCAGGGGAGGGGGCTAGGATTGGCAGTTGAGGGAAACTGCCAGGGGGAAGGGGACACACCTCATCAACAAGGGTACCTGCATAATGAATATTTGTATCCCCAAATATGAGTTGTACCCCCACATCTTTAAAATTAAAAATTTAAAAGGTAAAGAAAAAAAAAAAATCAACGTTAGGCTGACAAAATAATCAGATTAAATAAGATTACAGAAATAAGAAAATTGAAAATGCAGGATCCTGGATTGAATTCTAGAGCAGAAAAATTTTTGAAAAGCTACAAATAACATGATTGGGACAATTGATCAAGTTTGAGCCGGACTATACAGTATTGTATTGATGATAAATGTTCTGATTTTATAATTACATTCAAGCTACGAAAGCAAATGTCTTTGTTCTAGAAAATAAAGATCGAGGTGGCAACAGGGCATGCTGTGTCCAATTTACCTTCAAATGGCTCAGACAAAAAAAGAATGAAAGTGAGACAAAACGTGAACCATTAGTAGATCTGAATAAGGTGAAAGCGGGAGTTTCACTTGTACTATTCCTGCAATTTTTAAAGATTTGAAATAACGTTAAAATAAAAATATTTTAAGACTACTCCAGGGAAAGGAACTGGAGTCCAACATGAGTGAGATACTCACAGGAGTTCAGTCACGGCATAACTAGAACTGGCCTCCATGCCTGGCAGTACGCACGGCTGCGTCCTACTGTTTTTGTGTGTAAAGTGCAGTGGCAACTTTAATTTGTTCTTTCCTTTTGTTACGGAATATTCAGAGTAATCATGCATTCTCCTAGGGCATTTTAAGAACTTTTGCCTGCTTTGTTTCCTAAAAATCTACATTCATTCAAACTCGTTATGAAGAAGTTATCATCTGTACCCTTCTGTAAAATATAAGAAAACATAAAAAAATTGAGCAAAGAGAATTCTAAAAATGGAAATTTAGTTTTGATGAACAGAGGCGGAAGAAATATATCTCCTCAAGATTGTAGCACTAAATCACTCAGAACCCGTTATGTGCCAGCGTCTTGCTAAATCTTAGCACAGTGAGCGAATCCGGCAAGAAGCTCCCAGGCGGTCCAAGTTCATGGTCGCACTGCACACCCTGTGTGGTTACTCGTCACCGTTTCCTACATCTTGGGCTCTCCTGCTCGCACCTTCTGCCTCTCGGCAGAAAGGCCAACATCTGATGCTGCTTCCCGCCCCCTGAACTCAGCCTCCACTTGAGGACAGCGGGACCCTTAGCAGCTGTGGGAGTTGCTTTAACACTGAATGGAGACTCTCTCCCAGAAGGAGCCAGAAGACTGATGAGGCATTGAAGGGCAGGAAGAGAGATGCAGCTTCAGGGTATTTGCACCATGAATCTCAGGGATGCGTGAATCTGAATTGTGAGAAGAGATGGCCCTCGCCTCCCACAGTGACCATGGTCTGGAGGCTGGGGAGGGAGGTCGGCAGAGGGATCCCGACACAGACCCAGGCAGAGAGCTGCCCCCACTCCACACCTGCACACACAACGCGGAAGTTAAATCTGCGTAGGCTTGCATTTCCACAGACTTTCCGTTTCCTTCGCGAGAAAGAACAAAATACATGGTGAGACAGTGAGCTTCTGGGACCCGTAAGCCAACTGTACTTGGTTCAAAACACTACCACAAAATGAGTAAGATGCCGAACTTTCTTCTTCAATTGCCTTTTCTGCAAAATAAACCCTACTATGTAAAGTTACTTCAATAGTAAATGTACATTAAATTTTGCATAGCCTTTGGCTCACAATAAGTACAGAGTAAGTGGAAATGGTTACTATTATAATTAGAAAATGAGCAATGCATATTATATAGCTTAGGTCATATGAATTTATATTTATGACAATCTCAGGGACCAGGCCCAGCCCTGAGTATCCCAGGTTGTCCAATCCACTATATTTATTCTTCTATCAGGTATTGAGAGTATATTGAAACCAGGGCCTGACATCAGGAAACAAACAATGGAAGCAAAAATATTTCCAAGAAAACCTTTCGGAAAGGAAATTCAGCTCCAGAGTGCTTCTTTTGTCTTCAAAAATGACTTCTCTCTGTGCACAGAGGCTAGGTGTCCTAAGGAGGAGGTCTGGGAAGGGACCAGACTGTCTGGCCTTCAATCCTAGCTAACCACTGGCTAACCGTGTGACCTCGAGGAGAGTCATTAAATTCTCCCACAGGGCTCTTGTGAGAACTAGAAGATGTAAATGCAGAAAGTATCAAAAAGAATGTATGTTTGGGATACAGAAGATAACTGCCCAAGGAAAAGAAAGAAGAACATCCAGTCGTGTAGCGCCTCTGGTCACTCTGAAAGTTTTCCATGATTACCAATTTGCCAAAACACACACACACACACACACACACACACACACACACACACACACACACACACACCACCAATCTTATTTCTAACACAGTACTTATGGCAATGAAAACGGTGTACCTTGTAAACTGCCAAGTGCAAGGCTGTAAATCCATTTCTTGTCAGTCGTGATGGGCGGAGTCCTTTTAGCATAAGGGATCGAATATGCGACTTGTTCCCTTAGGAAGAAAAATGAAAAGAAGCTAAACTGCTGTGTGGGTGTAGAAGCGACTTGATCTCCCTTTGACTTAGTGATAAATGCCATACTGCTGTACGAAAAAGTCAAGCTGCTGTACTGCAGGCCATTTGTAAAGTTTTCTATGAACTGACAGCCTTATTTAATAGTGAACATTTCTATTACTTGCCTAAAATCTTACATTAATGCTGTGCATTTTGACTCATTTGCTTTATGTTTTGATTTAGTGCTCTCATCGTCAAATAATTTCCAAACATAAAAACATGAGAGAATTTCTCTTGATAAACTATGAGTGATAAAGCTTGAGTTAAAAACTCTAGGTGTAGAGGACTCCTCAAAAGATCATTGGCAGTAGGGCTTGTTTAGATCAGAGAAATATGGCAGACAGGACAGAGGTTGGGAAGGCATGTTTAAATCTGGGAGAATGATTTGTTAAACAGAATGTGTTTAGTTTGGGAGAACGGTTAAGAGATCTGATTAGAGTTGATACTTATACATCACTGTTCTGTTTAAAAAGTTGAGTTCGGTAAATTTAGCTTCGATTGACAAAAAAATTTACCATTCATTAGTTCAATAAATGTATTGAGTGGCTGCTAGATGCCAGGCAGCATTTAAGCTTCTCAAGATACATTGATACATACAAAAAACAAACTAAGCATAAACCAGAGTAAACTCTCAGTCTTCACTTTGATTGATCTTCATTTCTCAATTTTATCTTTGGCATTTATCACTTTTCCATAAACTCTTGCTGCATATTGTGAAGCAACTGCTTGATGATATTTCGGGGCATGCTTTCAGTGTTTGTGCTTCAAACTAATCCCTGACTGGCATGCCCAATACTGAAAAGTGAGCTTCGATTTCTAAGCAGACTGAGTGACTTGGTTTTTAGGGTAGGAGTATAACGAAACTTCAGTTCAAAGCTAAATAAGGGAACTTGATCTCAAACCAGGCAAAGTGGGGACCAAAGGGAGGTCCAAACTTTGCCTGCCCAGCGATCACTTGCATGCCTAGTCCCGAGTTGTACCCCACATCTTTAAAGTAAAATAAATTTTTAACAAAGCGAAATCTCTTGGGGCGTCTGGGTAGTTACTGTTGCAGCTGAAGACGTCAGGATGGAGAAGGTCCAATAAGAGAAACAACTGCATATGAGCAGAATGCTCTTGTAGACCATGAAGCAGTTCCATCACTGCCCATAAACACAGATGACTGTTGTAGAAAGGATCAAGTTCAAGTACTCACCTCCACAGATGCAGCATAAATGAAGTAGAGACAGTCCATTTTCAGTGCGGTAATTCAAATTGACTTTACTGAAGGCTTCATCAGAGCTGAAAAACATATTTTACAAGTGATCACAGGGTTCATCTTTTAATATTTTTTTCATTTGAAAATTATAAAAGCAAATTCTGTTACTAAATTGAGAACTGTAGGTCTTCTAGGATTCTTTTGCCCCCAGAGAAGAATTTTAAATCCTTTATGTGAAGAATTAAAATGAAAAGAAAATACTGTAGTTTTACATAGCAAGGGTGCCATTAGACTTGTAGGGCAGGACTGTAATTTCAGTATTCCTTTCCAAATCCTTGATAGATGCTAGGTGTCACAATAGCAAACCCAGAGACTGTTTTTATAAACATGTGAAAACAAGGTCAGATATCTTTCTAGAAGCTTGACTGTGAGCACAGAATATTTGCATCTATAAATTGATTTTGAAAACCAGATAATTTTACAGTTTGTCCAATGTGAAAGGTCAAACATGGTTTGAAAGTATGGGGGCCAAGAGAAACCTTCTCTTCAGCCCCTTGGGGGTTCACTAAAAATCAGCTGACAAAGAAAAATAAATTAACAGGAGAAAAGGCACACAAATGTATTTGATCCTTGTTTTATGAGACACAAGACTGAGAGCCTTCACAGTAAAGACCTCAAAACACAGGGGAAACTACTTTTCTACTTAGGTTAACTAAGTATAGACAGCCGTGCAGAAACATCACTGGGCAAAAGGGGGTATGATCTAGTGCTACTAGACTGAGTGCGGAAACCCAGCAAACCTTTCTGTCTTGGTGCTTCTGGACCTCTCTCCACTGTTGCCCTTCCTTCTGGGTGTGGGACAGGACCCTGTCTGGAATGGGAGTCTTATAACCCACAAGGAGGTCAAGCAAGGGAGGTCAGATTATTCACGTGTAGCCTGTCTTTATATCGCACTGTAAAGGGAAAGTTGGAGTCCTGTTTTTAGGTTTTCTGTTGGCTTTGGGGAACAGGGCTCTGGTTTCTATGACTTGCCTTGGTGAAGGATTCCAACTCCTGTGGCTAGCCTCAGGGGAGAAGGAGAAGCCAGACCCAGGAGGGAGGGGAAGTTTAGAGGGGAACTTTCATTTCTAAGGCTGCTGCTGAGATCTTCACTTTGGGGTATAATTTTCTCAGCCCCACCCCCCCAAATTAGCCTGAAATTTTCCCAAGATTTACACTTCAGAAAGAAAGTTGTATGTTCCTAGTGAAGTTGGTATTAACAGCAATGCCAGCTCGGTGGCTGCCTTTTGATCACATGTCATGTGCCAGGTCCGGCAGTCAGCACTTCACCTGATGCATGCCTCACATCACAACGTCTCATATATGTGATTTTACTCATTCTATAACTAGCTTGGCCAGATTAATTAAGAACTAGCTTGGCCAGGTTAATTAACTCACCCGCGTTGGAAAAAACAAAAACTACTTAAAAGACAGAATCAGGATAGGATTAGAACCCTGGTGTAACTATAAGGACAAAGCTTTTCAGGATTGCCAAGCTGCTGAAATGATTTTTTCCACTCTTAACACATCAAAATGTGGCAGGCATTGCTATGTAATGTTGAACATACACATTGAAAAACTAATTTTCTCAGGAGCTGATTGCTGCATGGGAGTTCCAGAGTTTTCCCTTCTTTCAGCATTTGCCATTAGGATCATTATGGTTAGCTCAAAAGAAAGTACCTCCTTCCCTGTTCTGCTCTGAGGCTACAAGTTATATAGTTCTTTACATCGACAGAAGGCCTCTCTCTCCCCTACCTGACACTTTGTTTTCTGGCTTGTGATCTTAGAGTGTGTTTCATTTGCTGGAAAATAGAAGGACCAAGGAAGAAAGGCCAAACATCTCAGAGCTTCTGAATCATTGTCCATCAACATCATCCGCTGCAGTCCTGGTTTTTGTACCCTTTGTATTTACGGGCCCTGATTTCCTACAGACTTTAAGAGAAAAATTCAATCTCCCTAGCTTGACAAGCAGAGTTCAGCTCTGCAGAACACCTGTACTCTTTCAAGTCTTAACCACAAAGAAGACCTCTGTGACCCGTCAACGTATTTCCAACGTGTTCCGAGTACCTAGTTTACTTTCTTCCAAGACATCTATAATACATTTGACTTTGAGGGTTCAAAAGCCTGGCTGGGGCAAAGACCACACATTTCCGAGAACCAGTTATTTTGTGAAGTGACTGTCCATACCATAAAATAGCCTCGCAGCACATAAATAGGCTTATTTTAAGTAGCTGTCTAAAACAGTAGCATTTTCATCAGAAACAATTTTGTTTGCATCATTCTTTGAGTTGAGGGAAAGGGCTGGTAGAAGTGAGTTAAATTCCTAATGCTCTTTCACGCAATGTTAAAGTCTCTGCTGTGTTATATGACCAACACTTAAACACACTGAACGTTACTGTGCTTCTACATACGGTCTTACAAAGCAAGTCGTGGTGTTGTTTCTCAATCCGAGTAAGAATGTCTATGACTTTGCTACTGAAATGCTGTATCCCCATGGCTCTGAGAACAAATAGCTTGAGCTTGTCATTGCTAATTAAAGCATTTCACTGAGGTCCTTCAATGACCCTGGATTTAGAGTCTGTCTCTTTTTAGCAGCACCTTGGAGAACAGCACTTTTTCTACTTTACAATTCCAATAGCTTCCCATACTCTTAACTGGGTGCCTTGATGATAATGTTCTGAATTTATGGTGCCTTTCAAGTGTAAGTACCTTACAAGTGATCGGAGTCTGTGGTTCACTCACCAAAGACTATGCTATCTCTCTAAAGCTGCTGAGATTTAAATAGGCAGGAGGCAGCTGGAAATTGACCGAGGAGGCCAAGGATATGATCTCATTTCCACTGAAAAATGTCCTGGGAGTACCAAGGACCTCAAGAGGTCGAGTATTTTAGCTTTACATTCCTTTTGAAAAGCTACCTGTGGCTCTCTGAGGTTCTCCCAGGGCAGTGGTCTTTGTTCAGACAAAGGCAAGGATTTCATTAATACAATCACTCCTCTTCTCACCTGGGACTGTGTCACAGTACCCTACCGGAGTGTAGATCTTTGTCTGTGAAACCTGACCCAGTCAGAGTACAAGAGAACTTTGCTTCAGGCAGACGTTGTAATGTATTGAGATGACATTTCTTTTTCCAATCTCTTATCAAAAGCTATCATTCCCCCCACCTTTCTTTTTGGAGCTATTTTCCTGAACTTCTCCATAGATATCACGTAGAAAATTTGGGTGGGCATGAGGTAGATAAGCTTGCTTTCAGTTGTCTGCTTTCTATTGACCCATAATGTTTATTCATCAAGGTGTCCTGTAAAGTCCAAATGATACATAGAACACAGAACAGCAATGAGAGTCTCCAATTTACATTTGATCTCTCAAATTTGTAATATTACTGTTTTTGCAACACTAGAGGTTTTTTTTTTTTTTAAAGAAAAATAGTTGGGATCAACGTCACTTTATTTGAGATGGTGGACTCAATTGCTTTCTTATTCAGTGATCTAATGTTGACAGTCCATTCTGTAAGTCTGGCACAGCACCTACTGAACACCTGCTATGTGCACCTGCCCCTGCTCCTAATGCTCAATTTAGGTTGTTTTTAGTCGCCTCCTTGATATAAACTATGAACTAATTCCTGGCTTCTTTAAAAGCATCAGTCCTGGAAATATACATGCTAGATAGAATCCTGCAACCAGTTGTAGTATTAGTCCTGATACCTAATTCCCTGATCAGCTTTGCAAAAACTAAAAATAAAAGCGGAGAAGAAGAAGACTGAATAGACAAGAAATACAAGATGCAAAAGAAAGTCCGTTATTTTATTTTTATTTTTGAGGAAGCAGAATTTATTAAGAGGACAGAAAACCTCCCAGAGTGGGAGGGGACCCAAAGGGGTTGCCCATTATTTTATCTTTTACAAAGAATAACACTAAATGAATGTTCACTGTTTACATACGTAAGATTGAAAGCATGATTAGATTAGTAACTCTTTTTTCAACAATTATTTCTTAGCACACGGAATCTTAAGCTAGACTTCACCATCCATAAGTGACTCAGTTTTGAGTCCTAAATTGTTCCTTGCTGTAAGCTAAGCTGCTGCATGCTGCTTTTGTTTGCTTAAATTCTATCCTCCTTGAACTCATGCAACTTCCCATAACGTCAACAAAATGAATCAACAGAGAATAGACTCCTGTAATATTTGGCAGTCAAGTGTGATTTTAATAGTACAACTTCTAGCTTAACTTTAATAACTGGAATGTAAATTTTTTAAATGAGAGTTACTCTGGGGCTATATTTGAATCCTAATTCTCACTTCCCATTAACTTCTAGTCAAACGTTTCTGTTTTGATACATGTAATTAAAATATTCAAGATTTTAAAGCAATCATTCCTAGGAGAGAAATTTCATTTTCTCTTCGTTTGCTTCTTCTAAAGTCACTGTATATGTCAAATTCACTGTCAATTGAGCCTCACTTATGTATTCTAATATACTAAGCTCAATTTATTTTTTAATTTCCTCTTACATTTTTCATCACCGGCCATGCCACACTGTAACTTAACATATCCTAATGAGTTCATAGTGCACACTGGGGCATGAATGAAATTCTTAATTAAAATAAAGCCACAATTATGAATATATTTCTAATGGTAAATTCTGTCCTTAATCATTAAAAATAGTAGTGCTGTATCCAAAGGTTACTTTCCTTCTTGTAGCATAATGAATTCTTTTCTTAGCCTTTACCTTTTACCCAGAAAAGTGTGCAGTTTTGTGATCCAATTAATTTTCTTTCTCATGACCTCATCCTTTCAAGAAGACATCTGACATGACCACAAGTGGGAACTTATTAAAATGTAGCATTTGAATGGTTGGCCAAAAAATAACACATTGCCGTCCAAGGTATTCAGAGAGGTATATACATCTTTTTAAATTAGTTCGTTCACTAGAATTTAGGGAAAAGCCTAGAAGATAGAAAGAAGGTAAGGATCTGTTATGGGTAGTATAGTTTCCCAAATGGATAATTTGGATTTCAAAAGCTGGTTGCAACTTCTTGCATATTTCTTTG